TTCCCCGGGGGTCAGTCGTTCAGGAGCAAACTGCTCCAATGTGGGTCCCCTACGGGGTCACAAGTCCTGCCGGCAAACCTGCTCCAGCGTGGACTGCTCTCTCCACAGGGTCACAGGTCCTGCCAGAACCCTGCTCCAGCGCGGGCTCTCCGCAGGGGCACATCCACCTGCTTCAGCATGGGATCCTCCACGGGCTGCAGGTGGATGTCTGCTCCACTGTCAACCTCCACGGGCTGCAGGGGGACAGCCTGCCTCACCATGGTCTTCACCACGGGCTGCAGGGGAATCTCTGCTCTGGTGCCTGGAGCACCTCCTCCCCCTCCTTCTTCATTGACCTTGGTGTCTGCAAGGCTGTTTCTCTCACACATTCTCACTCCTCTCTACCAGCTGCTGTTCTGCAGCAGTCTTTTTCCCCTTCTTAAATATGTTATCACAGAGGTGCCACCACCACTGCTGATAGAGCCCCTGGCCAAGGCTGAGCTAATGGGGCATGGGGGAAGGTTCTGGCATCTTCTCACAGAAGCAACCCCTGTAGTCCCCCCACTACCAAAACCTTGCCATGCAAACCCAATACACTGTCCCATGACACAAGGTTTCTGCATACGCTGCCCAAATCTGCTGCCAAATTCAGGAAGCAACATGAGGTCAGTCACATTAGCTCAGAGCATGGACTCATCATCCCAGTCACTCTCATCTTGGCAATAACCAAGACTTTCTGCTTCACAATCTACTCACATCATCCAGAAAACGTAATGAGCATATCCAAGCACTGCCTCAGGAAATGTTTTCTTTTTGCTTGTTCTGAACACCCAGGAGCTCTGCTCTGCCAACACTCATTAGTCCTCTGAGGAGGGTTAAGGGAACACCGTATATCCAGTTTGCCGCACAAGGGAAAAAGGAAGTGTGAATACAGCACTATTTCATCACACTGCTTCCCCAAGACACCCTTACCACTTATCGTACTGCAGTTTGATATCCTCTCTTGCTTGGGCTCCCGCAAACACCCTTGCCCCCTGTCTTGTTAGGGATGACAGCACTGTCACCCTTTCTGATCTCCCTCAGTTTCTCCATCTTTCCCCGTGTCACTCTTGTACAATCACTTATTGCCTGCCTGCCCAGAACACGAAACCACCTTCAGAGCAAAGAACTGTGCCCACATTCAGGTAAGAGCTGAGTGCCAAGCAGCTCAGCAATTTAAAGTAATCACTGTTGGGGTTCACAGGGACTTAAGAAAAACAATAAATTCTATGACTCAGACAAGAATTTGAACCGTGTGCCACCACGCGGTTCAAATGCAGCGCAGATAGCTTTAGACTGCTGCACTATAGGAAAAATCTGTGCTAATTATACAAGTTACTGGGGTACAGAGCAGTTAATCGCTATACAGGGCAATATTTGAGTATCACTGGATACTCAAAGCATCACCAGACAGACAAACGAAAGACTCTGAGCAAAGACAGTCAAAAGGGCAAAGAAAGTATTAAAGGAAAGGAAGAATGATGTGGAAGCTACTCTAACATTTCACAAAGACAGACAAGACACCATCACTTGCACTACAATACTCCATTTAGCTGCAATTCCAAAACAATACTGTTGAAATAACAAAGGCTTACAAGATGTCAATGAAAACGAGATAAAGACACCATATAAAAAGATGCAACATTTAACAAAGGATTAGAAAAGAGATTTGGTATAAATCAGACAAAGCGAAGGCATGCAGAGCTTCCACTGATAAAATATTTCAGTACTGGTACAGGATACCAGACTAGACTTGACCACCCAAAACCTAATGAGGAAAGTGCTTTCCACACAGTAGTATCAGTCCATGAAATACATCCTACTATCTATTTATAGGGGACTGAATTAGGCACTTGCATTGATAAAAACATCATTTGACATCAGCATAAAAAAAAAGAAGCCTGTTTTGGGGCAGAAGTGAATGGTCCCAGCAGGCCTGGGACCCTGCACTGCTGGGCAGATTTGGCAACTGTGTGTGTGAAAAGGTTGCTGGCTTCCTGCTCCAAAGCGGCTGGTCCTATCCACAGCTTCTGCACAAGGAGAGTTCATGATCCTTAAAATCTGTGCTGATGGGTTCTCCACCAAAATACCTATTAAAAGACAGGATTAGCCTCCTTTCATTGTTTCTTGCTTTCTTTCTTGACACTTTAATTTCCCAAATTTTTTTTCATTCCTTTTTCCCCCTAGAATATAATTTACCTTTTCTTTGCTGTCTCTACAGTCCATTTCATTTTCCTTCCTACCATTTTTCCCTTCCTCTATTATTTTGTGGATTGTTTCCTCTTCTTTCCACCTCTTGCTAAGCTCCTGTTACCTGCTGATAACACGGGCATTTCCTGCTGACGAGCACAGCCACCCCAAATTTCCTCTCCTCCCGCAGACTCCTGTGACACATGGACACCTTATGCCTTTCTCAGCTGAACCTGTTGGGAACTATACAACCTGCTGAGCACACCAAAGAGTGTCCGGGATGCAAAAACAGATGGCCTAAGAAATGGCTTGTATCCACCCAGTCACTCCCCGCTGAGACAAACTTAGTGCTGGACTCTAATATAACTACTTCTGTTCCAGAAATGAGATTATAGAGGGCCCAGACAGATGGTAAAGGTAAAATTGCTGTTCCCATTCACATCCAGCTGTGGGAAGGAAAGAGCGGCCGTCAGTGGTCTTCTCTCTGAGCTTTGCTAAAGCCAAATATTTGAACCATTAAGAGAGGAAAATGAAATGCCTACAGATGGGGGGGGCACCCCGCCCACCACTGGAATCCCCTTCCTGAAAGCCTGCCTCTAGATGAGATGCGCCTCCCCCACAGCCCCACACAAACACAACAAGGGGACTCCTCTCACAAGACAACCAGGAACTTCTCATACCCGCGACACACCGTGCCATGTATTTAACACTGAAGTCCATTCCCTCACAATTCTCTTCAAGGGCCTTTGACACATTTCTGTAAGGTTTTCATTCTCAAGGAAACTACATTGCGTATACTGCTGCAGATGAGAACAACCGCCTCAACACACCGAGCCTAAGCACCACCACTGTTGCCACAGCTATACACCACCTGGTTCCTCCCATTCACCTGTCCTGAGGAGGACCTTTCAAGCTACTGCATGTCTAAATGTGCACAGAGCAATCGTCCTTGAGAAGACGTTCATCTTCCGCACACGAGGAAGGCGACTGGGGAGAAGAGAAAGAGGCCCCTATAAGTTTTTGTTCTACAGACCTCTCAAACAGCTCGAACTGAAACCCTGCTGTTGATCCCGAACTCATCCGCCGAGCAGAGCGGGTGGGGGGAGGAAAGCAGGAGAATGAAGGAGCTGGAACACGGAAAGGC